CCCCAAAACCCCAAAACCCCAAAACCCCAAAACCCCATCAATTAAAGATATTTATATATTCAAGTAATCATTAATTAATGTAAAAATAAGAATCATAGACATAGTTATCATGAAATAATTTATAGTAATCTACCAAAAGCATGGGTTAATATTGAAGAATTTCTCCTTCTGTTGAATAGCTTTCCCTTGGTCTGACACTCTAATCTTATCTCATTTGCCATTTGATCAAAAATTTGAAAGATCTCTCACCTTTATTTAATACTTAGAGAGACTTTAAAATCTTTTCCCCTTTATCAAGAGATCTAAAATTGCCATCTTCTATATTTTGATTTTCCTCTGTTATAAATTCAGCCAAGCAAATAATACATAATTCAGAATCACTATCTTTAATTAAATGTTTTATCATTAGATCTAGATCAATTAATTATCCATTCATAAGCTTAAATGTCAATTTGAATCCCTTTTACTTAAAAATCTAAAATTTCTCATCTTTCAGCTGAATAAGCATTGACTTAAGTTTGTGCTTAATTTATCCAAATGTAACTAATCTATCAATATTTTCAAATTTATATTCCATCAAATTTTGTTAAAAATCAATAGCATGGGCAAGAATTTATATTCAAATATGGAGTGTAAAGACTGCTAAAGGCTTTTATAGAGTAGATTAAGCAAATTTCATTGGTGATTGCTATCTTTAGCAGAATCTTTTGAACTCAGTCCTTAATGGAACGAGAATTGAAGAATCATTGAGATTGCAGCTTATACTTTCATTTAAGTTGCTCTGATCAGGTGATGATATTGATATAATCTTGTTATAGCCAAGAAGTTGTTTTTCTTCTTCATTTTAAGTTTTATAAGCATTTACTCCTTTTGAGACTGCTAACTTTTCAGTTGTGTCCTAATGATCCTATTCATTAATCCTAAGAGATTGCTTATCAATATGCATGCACTCAACATTTCTAATTATTTGAGTTGGAGATTAGAAATTCGGTATAGCTTGTTGATGAGCGAGCAAATTTTCAGTTTAACTAATAATTTGCTGATTTTCTTAATAAACTTATTGAATTAAGCCTTTATCAAGCACATCCATTTCAATATCCTGCTTTGCTTTATTGTTTGACAGCTACATTAAAGTTATACTTAATTATAAACCTTACTTTCACCCTCTAAATTTTAATTTCCTCAATTCTTCCAAAAGGATTTGAGTATTTTTGTGATTTATGACCCTCCATTGATTTTATTAACTAAAAATAAATTATAACGATATGAATTAAAGATTTAATAAATGCGGGGTTTTGGGGTTTTGGGG